TTCATGTATTTATTCTGAAATATACACCATTCATTGCAGTAGAGACACATGAGAGGGTGGACAGATATGTCAAATCCTTTCCACCAGAAATATGACTCAAAGTGAATTCTCTACTAAAGTATAGAGTTAGTTTAGTACATCATTATCATTAGTAGTCATTCTTCAAGAAACTAGAAAGTCAAATTATTATAAGTCTACAGTAACCTCAAATCTTGAGCCTCCTGAATTAATAAGTTGTATTGGGTATTAAATAGGATTATTTGCCCTGGGAAGCAAGAAAGACCAGAGTAAACATTTTAGAATTTCAAAAGTAAGTCTGGGCTATTCTAAGGTCATTGAGGCTTTTGCTTAGAAGCCTACAGGGAGCAATCTACATTTTTTGAGAGGGAAGTGTAGGAGTCTTGGTATCTTAAGCTGGTAAACTTTAACTGATGGCTTGGCACCATGTGGTTTTACTGGGCTGTTTTACAGAAGTGGTTTCCCTCTCAATTATTTAACCTTTCCTTTCAGATGCCATAAGTAGCCTTTTGACTTTCGTACACTATTCTGCTCTATAAATTTTACAGTTGGGGCAAACTAGGGACTGAGAATTGGGATGGTTCATCAATTATACACTAAATTAGTAGTTCTCAAGCCCTGTGCACATCAGAAAAACCTGGAGGACTTTTTAAAACACCAATTGTTGGGCTCTACTTCCAGAGTTTCTGATTCAGTAAAACGTGCATTTCTAACAAGTTCCCAGATGATGTTGATCTCTTTGTCCAGGTACCACATTTTGAGAACCACTCTGATAAATCAAATACAGGAGGCAGATTGATTATGTGTATACCAATTGCAAATCATATGCGATTCACATGGGGCAGACAACTAGCATGGGTCAAGGCAGAGCAGGGAAAGTAGCTTCTCGGTGTTTAGTATTAATGTTGCTACTAACAGGAGAAAGTGTAGATCTTTATTTTTTTTTTAGTTTTGAACTAGATACTTAATTATTATATTTCTGGAGAATATCACCATTTCTGTTTTCTGATATGTTGATTAAAAAAATAGCAGGGGATTGATAATTCTTAAAAAAGTAGAGACCTCTTGTGGTCAGTCATAAAAGTACCTTAAAGACAGAAACCTAGAGTATTATTTGTCAAAAGGTTTCAGGATCTCTGGCTTTGTTGACATACATTTAAAAAAATATGTATATATGAATTACTTAATACCTGTCAAAATAGATGAGTAATGGGACTTCGCATAATGGTACTTTTATAAATGTATATATCATTTAGCTGTAACGGTTCTATATGATAAATTAAAACTTGATTGAAGCATAAGACATAAAGGCAAATGCATAAATCATAATTGTGTAGCTAAAGGAATTTTTCCAACCTGGATATATCTGTGTAGTCCTCATATCTGGTAGATTTTTATCATAATTTTATAGGTAAGGTGACTCAGGTTCAGAAAGATTATGTGATCTGTTATTTCATAACATCAATCAAATCCATTTTTAACTTTATTCAAATATTTAAAGGAATAAGGAACTTCAATAAATACGAATATAGAAGACAATCAATTTAAAGAGCCATGATCCACAGTCTGGATTTGTAAGTGTCAAATTTTGTCAAATGAAATTACCTTTACACATATAATTTCAAGAGCAGTAAACTAAATAGGCAATAATAATAATAATAGTAATAATAATAATAATAATAACAATAATAAAAATAAAATTTATTGTTGCTTGTCATTGTTTAGTATTGGTGGTCATGGTGGTGGTTACCTACTCTTTTTCTCCATTAATTTACAAGCAGTTTGGAGTATATTTTTGTATCAAGCCCTGTTTGGGGTCCTGAAGATACTAAAATGAATGACATTGAGTCTTTGCCCTTTAAGGGGATCAGAATGTAAAGCATCAGAAAGACCTTTAAACAGCACTTTGATATGGTAGTTTGTGCTCTAATAGAAGTGCATATACCTATGTGGATTGATTCTCAAGAAGGTGGGTATATTTTCTCCCAAATCTACCCCAGACTGTATAAAGCTTGAAAGTCCACAACTTTCTCTTTGGTTCAAAGCTATGGTTCAGTAGAAAATAATACTCAAAGAGTAGTCAGAAAAGTCATGTTTGAGTTATATAGCTCTTTCAGTTACTACTCTAGGATTTTGGACTAGTCTCTAGTCACCAAACTTTATTTCCTTGATTATAAATTAGGGATGGTAGCTGCTTCACCATTAGGAGGCTATTATGAGAATCAAGTGAGATAGTAAGAAAGTGGTCTGTGATCTTTAATGCAAAAATTATACATTATGCCAAGGCAACAATTAATTTATTCAGTATTTACCAGTTCATGGTATTGCCACTGGGAAGATGTGCTAGAGAAAGTGTTCAGTGTTTGAAAGTGGGCAGACAGATGTGTGCCTATCTACTTTTTTCCTAAACACAGTGAAAAGAATGAAAAGGAAATAAGAGTAGTAGTTGTCTGAGAAATGAAGGAAGTAGAACTGTGTTTGGTTGGGATAGGAAAAGGTATCAAAATCAGATTAATATACAAACTTACTCATTCACAAGTCTTTAAGAGGTAAAAGCAGCATATATTTATTTATAGAAAAATAATAATATGCAGAAGCAAAAAGAAATAAAAGCCACTTATATCTTTACGAGGTTGATCTATTGAGGATAGGTTAAGACAATAACACCCAGAAAGCACCAAAAAATAGTGGCTTAAATAAGATGCTCAATTTCTTTTTCAGCCAAAAGTTTGGAGGTTTGCAGACTGAGGCTGGTGTAGTGGTTCTGCTCCCTCCAGCTCATGACTTGGTCATCCCTAGGGTGTGGTGCCTTCCTCATGGTCCAAGTCAGCATCCACCCTCCTAGAAGCAGAATGGGATGAAGTAGAGGTACAGGGCCATCAGTTTCTTTAAGGAAACATCCTAGAACTTGCCCTGCAGCACGTCCATAACATACCATTTGTTAGAATGTAGTCACAAGGCCACATTTAGCAGCAATGGAGCCTGGGAAATGCAGTCTTTATTCTGAGCAGCCATGTGCTTAGCTAAAACTTCTATTATCAACAAAGAAGGGGAAAATAGAATTTTAGGGCCAACTGTCAGTATTTGCTACAGTTATTTCCTTAGTGAAATTGCAAATAGAGGAATTGCTAGGTTTGAAGTTATGTCCATTTTCAAGGTTCTTGATAAATACTGAAATTTCCCTTCAGAAGCTGTGTACACGTTTGTACTCCAAGGACATATATGAATACTTAGTATTAAACACCAACACAGTAATCAATCAATTCATTCAATGTTTACTACATGGCATCGCTGCCTGGCAGATGTAACAGAGAAAGTGCTCAGTGTTTGACAGACCTGGGCTTTTTTGTGAGGATTATTTCAGCTGTAAGTGACAGATGGCTGACCAAGAGTTTATTCAGATATTGAGGCAATTGAGTAAATTAAGGAAGGGGAATTGTGTATATGTTGGAGTTGGGAGTGGGATAATTAAAAATGAAGTTCTTTTGAAGAGGAATGGGAGAGGAGGATTATGTATGTAGCTGTAAAAATTTTGAAGCCTAAAGAGAAGAGCAAGAGTAATATGATGTCCTTTGAATGTCATAGAGGAGCTTTTCCACATATGCTTTCATCAACTGTTATGTTCCAGACACTGTCCTCAGTGCTTTACAAACATTCTCTCATCCATTCTGTCTGAATTCAAAATTTTGCTTTTTCCCTTTCTATTCTGAAGAGTGACCTGATTAAAAAAGCAAATTTAGAAAGGATCACTTTGGCTGAGCTTTTGAATTAACTGAGGGGTATAAAAAACTTTATAAAATCTTTAAACAATATAAAAGAATTAGGGAGAAAACAAGGTACTGCAAAGGGGAGGAAGGATCTTAAGAGATTTTGTCTCTTTGGGGGCCTTTTTTGATTTGAGTTGGATGCCTGCCTCTCTTTTCTCATAGTACCTGTGTTCACCCTAAGATCGATAATTCTCATCTCTGCTGTGGTTGTCTGATTATTTTGTTGTCTCTGCCACGAGACTTACATCTTGGGTGCCAAGTGTCAGGTCTTTTACATTTTTGTATTCCCAGGGCTTGGTATGCTTGCAACATAGCAGGTGCTCAGTAAACATTTGCCGAATGAATTATACAAGCATTCTTTTCATGGTTATATTAATACATATTTACTGAAATAGAAATTTTATTAATTTACTATTATGTCAACTTTTAAGAGGCGTACAATAATAACTAGACTAGCATAAAATTATGATTTTGAACATGGCTATAAAGGAATGTTTATAAGGCAACTGAATTTGTGAACAATATTGAGTGCTACAACATGCCAGTATGTTTTGAGTGTTTAATACTGTATTCAGTTATTTAATTCTCACTAAAACCTTATGGGGGTAACGGAATTATTATCTCCACTTCAAAAATTGGAAAAATTGAAAAACCAGGACACCAACCCCGGCAGTTCTGCTCTAAAAATTCTTTGTTTTACAACCAGGCTATTTTAACTTGCCATCATTTATTGGTTTTATTATTATTATTATTTCTGCATGACTCCACAGTAGCCTCTTCCAGTGAACAATCCATAGATCCTTATCCTGGTATTTTCTCTGTCAATCATAACTTCCCTTCTGCCAAAGGCACAGACTCTCCAAAAGGAACCTTAAGTATCTTGGGAAATTGCTGCTTCTCCGAGACCTCTATTCCACTTCCAAAACTGATGAGTAGTTTGCAATCAACATTATTCATTACTCACTTTAATAATCAGGAACTCATATTTTAGATTGTATCAACATTATTCATTACTAACTTTGATAATCAGGAACTCATATTTTAGATCGTATCCCCTAAAAAACGTTCAAATGCACCTCCCAATTGGTCTCCGCAAGCGGAAGCGTTTACGAAGAATTCCCGCGACTTTGCAGATCGGCCGGGCGCTTTTTCGCCGGTTAAACTACATTTCCCAGGCATCCGTTCGTCGTTCCCGGCTCCAGGAGGCATTGCGGAAAAACTAGCGACGCTTTGCGGAGCAGTGTGGGTCCGAGAAGTAACGGGAGGGCAGTATAGGGCCTCTCGCGCTCGCGCAGCCCGAAATGGCTCGGAAGCAGGACGAGCACAGAGGGGGCGCGCCCTTCATGGCGGAAGGCAAGTCGGAAGAGGAAGTTAGGCTCATTCTGTACCACTGGACACATTCCTTCAGCTCTCAAAAGGTAAAGGCCTCGACCAGGGCAGGCGGCGCGGATCGCGTTTCAGCACCTGGACAGCTCCCCTGGGTCTCGCCCGGGTAACGCCCGCTTGCCGGCTCACCTGACACAGGCCTCCAACGCCCCAACATAGGCGGGCGCTCCCTCGAGTGTAGGCAGGGATGAGGGAACAGGGAGAGTTAAGTCCGAGACAGAAAGGCTATATCGTAGGCACAGCCATTCATGAACTGCGACCAAAAGGCATCCCTCTCGGGACTGTGCTGGAGGCCATGTGGCCTGGGCCTTGGAGAGAGAGGCAGAAGGAAGAGCCTGCTGGCAACCGCAGAATACGACTCCCTCTTTGACCTCTCCTTGTTCGCGGTCGCTCTCTTCGACAAGGCCTAGCAAATCTGTATTGCAGGTTTTTGTATGGCGAGGACACGTAATCAGGTTTACCACTCGGAGAAAGTAGTAGTGTTGATGGAGAGGGTAACTGTGGAATGAATATAGCCATAATAATTTTCATTACCGATTTTATTATCTTTTCTAATTTATAAGAGTAACACTAAAATGTATTTCGCTTGTTAATTCCAGGAATAGAAATTGTTAAAAAAAATGCTGAAAATGTTAGTAAGTCCGGGAAGCACAGAAAAGCTGCTTGGTGGTATCCAGGGATGTCATTTTATTGAAAGCCCACATGCCTTGTAATAACCAGGGTGAACTCTTCCAGGTGCGCTTGGTAATTGCTGAAAAGGCATTGAAGTGCGAGGAACATGATGTAAGTCTGCCCCTGAGTGAGCACAATGAGCCTTGGTTTATGCGTTTGAACTCAACTGGAGAAGTGCCTGTCCTTATCCACGGGGAAAACATTATTTGTGAGGCCACTCAGATCATTGATTATCTTGAACAGACTTTCCTGGATGGTAATGTTAAGGCTATTTGTGATTTCTTGGATTTACTTTCAACACAAATATGTGTCCCCTGCTTTCCTTTTTTCTTCCCTCCCTTCCTTCCTCCCTCCCTTCCTTCCTTCCCTCTCTCCTTCCCTCCTTTCCCTCCTTTCCTCCTTCCTTCCTTCCTTCCTATGGTGGGCTAGTGGTGAAAACCTTTTCCATTTCCATAAGCAGAAGCCAATGTCACTCCATTTAAGGGAGCTCATGTAAACTACAAATTTTATTGGTAGGACGTTCCTTTTAAATGCACTTGCAAAAAACCCTGCAGGTGTATGGTTTGTGGTGGAGATTTATTAGCCTTAAAGTCAAATTCATAATATTGATTCTAAAGGTACACTATGAAAATCGGTTTCATCTACTCTACATAATGGTTCCACCTTAAAAAAAATAGGAAGGATAAAGAGGAATACAGTTTAGGCAAGGGAGGATAGAAATTGTAAACTTGGAGCTCTTTGGCTCTTGTTACTTCTGCATAGTTTGGATTTTATCTTTTGTAGGAAATTACAGGACTTTTAAGTATAATCATATATTGGTAGGTTGTTTTATGTCAGGCATTTAAAAAATTCTGTTAGTCCTCAACAGAACCTATCTGAGACAGGCATGGTAGACT